TTCGGCCTTTCACCGCTCTCTGTAGTGCATGACGAAGATGTGCTCCTAAGTTTACGCTGCCGTTCAAAATAACCGGTGCGCAAGGAACTCTAACTTCCCTCATTTTCAGGGTTCGCGGTGGCAAATTTAAGTACGAAGGACCTGTGAGGGTCTGGGGTGAGGACCTCACAGCGGATTTCGCGGCAGCAGTTGGCGACGAGAACGACGAGGTGCAATTTAGTGGTCACACTGCGACTTGCCCCGAAAATGCATGCGATCATAGACTTCAAGGCTTCACTGTTTGAGATTCGGGGGGAACGCATTTGCCTTCCTGCGGCTGCAGCAACTGCCTACATCTGAATGACCGACAATCTCAGCCGCCTCAGCCCTAGCCTGCAGTGAGCTGCCTTTCAAACCTTTTACCCTTTTCTAGCGTTGGCCTCGGTTTCGCTCCGTGCAGGCCTGGCTCGACTGGTCAGCCGCCGCTGCGCCTGCGCCAAAGAAGCCGCGCCGGTTCCCAAGATTTCAATGTTCCATGACTGGCTGTGACATGGTGTGACTGGAGCATTGCGGGAGGCACTGACGCATCCGAAGCCGCAGCAGCTGCGGGGCGGCGAGCGGCAGCGCGCCTTGCGGAGAAGAGGTGGGAGGGGACTGTTGGGAGATGGCGGAGGTGCAGCATTTTCGAGTACAGCAGACTTCTGCTACGATTTAAGGGGCTCCTTACAGGGCGCGCTTCCGCATCGACGAGGTCATGATGAGCATCATGCCCAATTAAGGGGATCAGCCAGGATGCTGCCTGGTACGAGTGAGCCGATCGACGCCGGAGGGACGATTTTGAGAGATCTTGGGTTTGGCGTTGTGTCCACAACTATTTTGCACCATGGTGCGGAGTATTGTGTCAATTGGAACATTTGTTATCGTCTGCGTGTAAAAGTTTCCTGGTCCGGGACTTGAAGTCAAGGCTGCGCATCGTATGTCTAAACTTGACTCCAGATGTCTGTACAGTAGGTTGCAGATATCTTGCAGACATCTAGTCTTGAAGTCTAAAGTAAAGTTGGCTCTAGTAAAGACGTACGCTGAACCCGGAGGAGCCTTCAAGATCGAAGAAGAGGAAGGATGTCGCAACCGATACTAGCCTCCACTGTGGTTGGTGTTTCTATGACTATGAGACGTCAATCGTACTTGAAGCAAGGTGTCGCCAAATCCGAATGCGGAATTCAAGAAACTCGCGATAGTTCTTGCTCTGGTTCTAGTAACCTAGAAATTCTTGTATCCAAGAATCGCAAACAAATGCAGCTTTCAAGTTAGAGTTCGGAAAGTAAGGATTCAGCCATTGTCCCAGGGCGTGTAGAAAAACGACAGCAGTGGTGCTTGAAAAACGGAAGCCCTTCACGCTGCGCTCACCCTGCAAGCCGGAGTCAGCTGACTGCCGCGGACTGCCGTTCGCCCTGGATTCTTGCAATCAGCCGCAATCGAGCCGAGCGTTTCTGAGGGTCGAGAGTCAGGATGCGTTGCCACCAACCATGCCAGAGTCTGCAAAAGTTTCGCAGAGGATGGCATGAAGAACCCAGGGTCAAGCCAAGAGCCGTCTGTCAGAGGTAATTGGAAGCTCTCCAATGCTCTCCATACAGAAGGGTTGTTTGGAGTTTGGTTCGTGTGCTTGACATCATTCGGCCCACTATATCAGAAGGATTCAACAGGAATCAAAAGCATGGAATGTTTTGGAATAGATTGAAATGGGCTGCTTGCTCTATGGCATTGTCGCAGGGATGGGCCTCGCAGGGCCGGGCGCCAAGCTCCGGACCACAAGACCGAAACTAGAGATTTTGGACCATGACGCTTGCAGCTGAGACTGGCCTGAGGTTGTCGGCTCCGTGACCGGTTACTCACAGCTAGTGCAGCAACCTCATGTGCCGAGTGTTTCTACGGCAGCTTTGATGGTGGGGCTGTCCATTGGCGGTGCATATTCTCGCTGCTGCCTGTGTAATCGCATCATGTTGTTCTTACGGAAACTGCATGCACGTGTGCAGAGCAAGATTCTGGGGTGGCTCCATGTAGCTCCCCTGCTTAGCTTAGGCCATCCCGTGCGACTCTGAAGCGCAGCTACGAAGGTTGGCGGTCCACGTTGCTCTGGTCACATCGATGACACAAGCTCGCCAGGTCTGGTCAAGCAGGAGATCCGAGAGAAGCAGGAGCCCGAAGAGGAAGATGCGGTCCCGTCGCGAGACCAGGCGCCAGCACTAACATCATCTGTCCCGCTGACACAAAAGCCAGCCTATGTTGAAATATTCCGAAGACTCCGATCCCCACTTGAGCCCGCAAGCCTGTGATCTGACCAGCTCGCCGGTGTGGCGGCAGTGAGCAAAGCCACCTTGCTGCCCATGTCGCCTCAGGAGGGGTGGGGATTTTCCCGAGGGTTGTGCATTCCGTGTGCCAGGACTCCTCCAATGCAGGGTCCCTTCACTGATGTCACATCAAACAGGGGATCGAATGTCTCGAGGCAGTAGACGAATTCGGCAGTTTCATGATATTGTGTCTCCTTGCTAGTGACGCTAGTACACTGATGGAGGTGAAGGTGCAGATGCTACGTGCGGCCATATTTTATGACTGTTTATGACCAGACGAATGGCCAGAACAAGGCAAGAACACGAAACATGAATGACATAGTCCGCTGTGTTCAAATCAACGAATCTAGAGCCTGAAGGAGAAGATGATGCAGGCTGCCGGGCCTTCTTCCTTTATGCAGTTCCTTAAGTCACGCAGTGCATGACAGCTTTGTGCAAGCAAGTCTGCACATGCAGTTTGGTCTGGCAGGTTCGCAACTATGTTTGCAACCCAGTTCACATGTGTTCTTCTGTCCGGCTATAGGACTTGATGTCTTGGTCCCTAGAAGCCACATCCCTACTCGCCGTCAGCCATGCTGAAGCCACACGCTCAAAGTCCGCCGTCCCATGCAGCATTGTAATGAGGCATCGAAGCATGCCCTGTACTTAGACGAGCAGTGCTCTGACCTTACGACACGTTCCTGCAGTGTCGGTTCGATGCCAGCTCAAAGTAACGAGTCGCCCTGTGCAGCCGAGGCATTAAGGCGCTTTCGCGCTTGCCGTTCTACCGAGCCAAAGATCTCATCGAGGAGGTACTGCTGGGAGGCAGCTGCGCAAGCCGCGTGTGAAAGAGATCGCCGCTGGTCGCCAGATGTCGCCAGGACGGCAGCGGCAAGGCGTCTCAAACCCTTCCCGGTACCTGATGGCTGCCGTCAAGAAGATGTCCGTAGGGCTCGGCTTGCACCTCAAACAGCCTCGAGCCGAATCCCTTTCGCTGCGATTCGCGTTGTCTGCTCAGGCGTGGAGCAGGCCTGGGCCCGGCGATGCCATGCTTCTGAGAGCCTTGTGCATTGGCGACTGCCGACAGCTGTCGCAGAAGAGACGGTGTATCGATGCCAGGGCATCGCCATGGAGATGGCAGTGTCTCTTGGTGTCGCTGCTGTCTCAGAGGTGACACGAAGATCGTCTAAGCGAAGACTTGCTTCACACTCACACTGGCACTGAACCATTCTTTGGCATTAGCTCGGCTGCTGCTGCTTTTCGCAGCGCTTCACTTTGCCACAGAGCTTTCACATGTACTCAGAAGCATTGTAGGGAAGTAGACCGAACTCACCAAGCAAAAATCTAGAGTAAAGCCTGAACGTGCGCAAGTCTAGGACTCATGTTACATGTTTTGACAAGGTTCTGAACAACGATGCTTTGGATGAGTTGGCCTCCATCCCCAGACAGGCGCGAATCTGCATGCTCTGGGGTTGCATTGCTGTCTGAGGCCTGTTTGCAAACCGAGTCGTAGCTTGCTCCAGTTGTGCCACGGAGCTGTGGTCACCCATGAACACTGCGGTCAACATCGGAATAGCAGTTTGGTGTCGTCAAGACGCAGCGGCTGCGAAGTTTAGCTTTCGGAATGATTGGAGGAGTCACATGCCATCATCCGTGAGTTGTCCCAAAACGAGGAGCACCGCCGCGGCCAAAGCAAAAAACTTGCCGGAAGTATCTATCTCGTGCAGGTTGTGGATTCCGAGCGATGGAAACATTCCTTTCTTGTCTCATCATGTTGACTGACATTTTGTTCATTAATGTTGATTGTTTTTTGTTGAGGGTTTAGCTTGTGCCTTCGTCTCCGTGAGCAGCTGGATTCCAGCTTCCAGGTGCTGACCCCATGGCCTACATTCAAGCAGAAGTGCTCAAGTGTGGCGAGCCTGGCTGCTGCAAGCTGGGTTATCCTCTGCTGTTGACCCTGCTTGCCATTTTTGCAGCTTTCTTATGCTTGCATGCCTCACGTGTTCGACAACCTTCAATCAATTGCTTCATCTTGTTCGAACTAGACTGAGGCCGCGAGCACTTGGACGTCCGACAACTTGAAGAAGAAGGCGAGATGTAAAAGCTTCTGGAAATACTTGGTTCCCATTGATCTGAATAATTGGGAGTGGCCATTAGTTAGTTCAGGTGATGAAAAGGGCTGCTTGACAGGCACGAAATTTGACTGACGGCTGTTGTGAGTTTGCAGAGTTATACGCAGGAGTTGGAATGCCGAGTAGGCAGGGCACATTCTGTACCCGCGAGGTTTCACGGGTCCCGATTCTGGTCAGATCTATATCATTAACTATAATATATAATCGTATTCTATCCATTATCCGCCCGACAAGAAGAAATCACGACAGAATATGACTAATTTCGATAATCTGTCGAATTATTGATATAGAAATATTAATTGACTATTTTTTGAAATATATTATATATTTTCTAAATTCAAATTTTTTAAATTTAATTAAATAAATATGAGAAATTTTTAATTGCTTCTATTAGGCTCAAGGTTTCTAGATAATAATCTTTTTCAATTATCGAAATTTAGAAAAATTAGGTCTGGCCCGATTTGAAAAAAATGATATAGGGAAGACGGTTTATTTATTTACTTATTATAGTTGAATCTATTATTTTAGAAGAGGAGAATAAGGAGAATAAATAATGAGATTCAAGAAACTTATTTCTAGGTCTCGTTATTTTTATCGAATTTATTCTTTTTTTTTATTTAAATATTTATGTAATTTATTAAAATTATATATATATATAG